GTTTACCCATTCCGGAGTTTCACCCCCTCCTCTAAGCTTAGTCTCAAGCGATATAAGTGAGAAAGCTTAGAAGAGCAGAGAAGTAGCAGCACGAATGTCAAAGCGCGTGTCATATTCGTGATCAGGGCCCCAAATAACCACCGAAGTTTACAGCGAATTTGGTGATAATCAGTGGCGCCAATGGCGCCAGCGCCAAAAATGGATGTCATATTCGTGATCAGGACCCTCGATAACCCCCATAGCAGAAGTTTCAGCGAAAATTATTTTTTGACCCATCTCACCCCCACTGGGGTTGTAATAGTGCAATAGTGCCGAAAAGTTAATACGTCGTCATAAACTAGAAGATTTGCTCTATTCAAACATTACTTTGTCGCTGCTGCTCAATACGTCCAGTATTTAAAAAATGGCCACGTTGAGGATTTTTGCCCGAGTACCGCCGAAAGGTACTTTTTCGCTACATTGGCACTATTTCAACGACTATAGCTCCTTTCAGGGGCGATTATGTACAAAAGTGGGAGCAGATTCGGAATCAGAGCTTTTTCTTTCCAACAAGTGTAAAATTGTTTGGCGAATCTCAACTTTAACTTATATGTTCATGAATTTGACGCTGAAGGCTGCATTTCTTGTTGAATAGTGTACTCCTCCCTGTAATTTCACATGAACCCTTTCAGAATCCTCTTGATTTTTCCTGAATTGAGATTCTTTCTCCAGAGAGCCGTAGTTGAAGCGCGCGCAACCAACTGGGCCCACTCTGGGATGCGCCGTGTGCTTCACATCCCTTCAGATTCGAGGACTCACTTGAAAGATAAAATATCCCTTGGAAAACGTGCGAATTTCGGATTCTTTAACTTGTGTGGTGATAAAACACTGAAGTAACTAAGAATTGCTAAGCGGACACCTCTGAATCACGAAGATTTTGTGTGGGCGAATAACATTGTTATTGGAAATCCTCTGGCCTGGCATCGACTCGATCCTTGATGTTTGTCCTCCGACGGTGATGATCCTACTGCATCAATCCGGCCCGATCTCCCAGCGGGCCAATACGACCCCCCCCTCCCGTGTGACGTGTCGAGGATTCCTCAACGCACGTAAGACCTCAACGCGCGTGACCCTGGTCGTGCGTATTTGCGAGATAGCCATTACCGAGTCCCGCGAACAGCGCTAAAAATTTGCAAGACATTGCACCGGGCCATTTTCCCTCTCCCCAACAATTCACTGTCCATAAGCATCTCCACAACTTCAAAATCGTCTCCTATTCGCTCATCGTCCGTTTGCTCTTTCCTTTTTAGTTTATTGCGATTTCCCAATTTTTCGAGAATCCAATTTATCCCCTTGATGGCCAAGCGATACGCAAAAACAGTGGACAGTTGCAGCAGTGGGAGACATAAATGAGACTCGGCGGCAAACGCACATTCGCACTGTGTGCATGGACTGCACTTGCCGCTTGCGCCAAGTGCAAGTCAGATACCCAATATTGAAGAGTATGAGGCTAGCGTAACCGCCTCTTCTTGATGGGCCAACTTCCCCTCCTTCCATTATTATAGTCCATGTTGCGTTGCGGCGCGACGACACGCCCAATGCAATGAGTGCGGTCCAAGCATACCTTGTGTCTGTTGCGGTCTGTCGTCTGCCTAACAGAGCGCGAACAACAAATCTGCTGCAACAATCCATTTTGAAGAGATATTCTCGTTCACAATGTCGTCTATTATCAGTGTGTCGATCAATAAAGAACAGCCAGCGATGGTGCCTTTCGACCTGGACTATCAACAAACTCTTGGATCACCGTTCGTCTCTTTTATCGATCTGTCAATGATCAATGAGCTTTATGGATGCAAAAGTGAGCAGATTAAGCGAGCAGTTATTTTCAGCAATTTCTCATAAAATGGCACTGACAAGTGCAAGTAACTTGTCTGATGCTGAAAGTAGAACGCATCTGTGGCAAAGTTAGCGTTACACTATAAAGACAGCGAAAACTGAAATCGTGCGACAAGTCAGAAGACCTGAATTAAGTTCTCACAGCGCTGCCGCAAGTGACTGTGCATATGGCGGTGAGATGAGAGATTTTTGCTTACAAATGTTGTGCGCTAGGCTCCAACCAGGATTCCTGAATTTACACCTTTGAATTCAGGTCATTAGAATTATTTCCAGATTCATGCGATCCTGCTACTTCGGTGATTTGTGAAATGGGCGGTTTCCCAAATCCGCGGAACTGCAGCAAATGTGTCTGTCCTGGTGGTTATGGTGGAGATCGATGTACAGATGAAAGAATTATGGACTGTAAAAACATGGATTATAGTTACCATTCAGCCAAAGGCTGACTGTGGGCGCACAATAGAAGCGTCGCCAGAATGGGACACTCTCACAGATGTTCTAGGGAGTTTTGGTCATCTCAAACCACTAGAGGACTTCACCGTGTGCAACTACCAAAACCGCGGCGTAGTTGTGTGCAACTACTGGATCACTGTATGTACTACTGGATTATGCATTCTTAACCTAACGTGTGATTACTTCATAGACATGTGTTCGTAATTTGATCCAAAGACCGCGGCGTTCACGCGCAGCACAAGCTATCGTTTTGTGGTCCATAGCATAATTACGTAAAATATCTACTTACTATAAATCGCTCCCGTGTGTTGTCTGTCGTTCTGCTCGTCTGTCGTTCTGTATGTCTGTCACGAAATTCCCTAGCTCCTCGGGATCCGCCTGGAGGGACCGGGTCAAGTGTGGGATGGGTGGGCAGGGTCTCACGTAAATACAAAACACACATCAGCTAAGCGGAGCCCCGCCCACAGAGGGCGTGGCGTGCGTCGAAATGAATTGTACCGAAGACCAAGATTTCGATTTCAGTGACAAAACGACCTCGAAACTGGGCCAAAAAGTGGGTAAAGGTGTGCATTGGTAAGTAACATCGAATTAGGGAGACCCACCCCCGGTGGGCGGGGCGTTCTCTAAAAAAGCAGTGCTTTATGAAAAATTTCATAACTCGGTTGGGAGAAAGCCTACAGAGCAGAAAACAATTTGGTGTAAGGGAGCAATGTCTAAGGTGTTTCCTGCATACATGACGTGGGCGGAGGCCCGCCCAGAATGGGCGGGGCGCGCTCTGAAGTGTACAGCATTTTCTACAAGTCCTCATAATTCGGGCCGGGGAAGTCTTAAAGAGCCGGAAAAAGGTGGATAGAGGTGGGTGGAGGAGTGGAGGCCAGCTGTCATGGTGGGCGGGGCTTGACGAAACTCGGCTCCAAGAAGTCCCGGAGGCTGGGAAAAAGGGAGTAGAGGTCGGCGAAGGAAAGGAGGTCAACTGCTATTAGTGGGCGGAGCACGCACTAAAGTGGGCGGAGTTTGCCAAAAGTGTCGCAATTCGGTTCCAAGAGGTCCTAGAGATAGGGGAAAACGGGGTTAGAGGTCGGCGAAAGAAAGGGGGCCAAATGCTATTGGTGGGCGGGGCACGCACCGAAGTAGGCGGAGTTTGCCACGAGATTTATTGTCCGGAAGCAGTCCGGAGACCGAGAAAAAAGAGGATAATGGTTGACGAAGAAAAAGCGGATAGAATTTAGCGGAGAATTCAGATATTCGTATTGTATCAAGCCAAATTTGAAAATTTTCGTCGCACCATCAAAATTCGCCACAGATCTGTGTTGCGCGCGCAATGCGTGCGGCGCCAACTGGTTGCTTAATCCACTTGGTCATGCTAGGTCATGACAACGCGTTAGCCATGTTTGCAGTGTGCTAAGCATAATAGGGTTCTCTTACATCCCCTTAGGTTTTTCTTCTTACATTCAAAAAATGCGTGCATTCTCACACTTTTTCTCTATTCCTCCCATTCGTCATGCCGGAGCAAAGTTTCAGACCAGCTGAACAATTTCTTGTAGCGCGGCGAACGACGAATACGAGCTTCGTTATAACTAACGTCACTCACCTAGTGGATTCAGCAGCTAATGAATATGCTGAGATCAGTTGCAGAGCTACGACTTCACTCTTTTTTTCAGTCTCTAACGAAACAGAAATCGAAATTATCCTTCTGAGCTTTAGTAACAGTTTTGATAATAATGGATGTGTGTACAATGGTGTAGAAATCAAGACAAATCAGGACCAACGGCTCTCTGGCTATAGGTGCTGTCTTTTTTCGAACGAGAATAGCACTTGTCAATTATCCTGAAATGTTTGCTTCAGGTTTGCTCTAGTAGCGCAGCCGGGACTCAACTTCGCTCTTACACCAATCGAGGTTCCCATAATCACATGGAACAGACTCTACAATTCGGAAATGAAATTGCTGTACCGCCACGGTAAGTCAAGCTCAGCACTCTCTTCATTTGAAGGAAGGAGTTCCACAAGATTTAGTTCCGGCTAGCGATCCTCGTCTACCTGCTCGAACAATTCGACCACCTACGAACCCCGACAGAATCACTACCGAACCACCTCTTCCTGCTGACTTTCTGGATCTCTCATGGAGTAGCGCCTCTTCCGGCCGAGTTCTGGACTTCTGGTGAAGCAGCGCGCATATGTGTGGACCATCCTGAGTAATCAAAAAATTTTGAAAGTCTTAAACGCGTACTGAACATGTTTTGTTTCCTTAGGTGTTCTCTTCATCTTGCTGCCGTAAACTTCTGCAATAATGGCCACTTCACCATTGCGCAGAAGAGGAGCTATTGTCCTAGATCATGTAATCTGTGCACTACTCCACAGTCTATCAACTCCGCCGCTTGAGGTCGCCTTTTTCACATATTTCTCACACCACTATAGCTTTGGCTAGTACAGTCATAAATAACTTGTACAATTTCTAATAAATAAGAAATAAAGTAATTAAGCGATAAGAAAGATTACCCAAGCTGTCATGCTGAAAAGAATGATCCACGTAGATGAAACATACACAACGTTTCTGCAGTTACATGCGTTCCAGTTACGACGTCAGAGGTCAAAGTGACGACCTCGAGAAAAATTGCGTCATTGCGGGTTTAGGGCATCCTTTTCAATCAACCTAGCGTCAACCTTCACCTCAGAGAAGTGTAACGATTGAGGACCTTCATCCTTCGGAAGGTTCCTATCACGAACTCTTCCAACGATCGATACGGTTTACATGTAGTCAGGGTGGATATCGGTCGAGGAAATCCTCGACAGGGGGTCGTATATGTCAAGGTGGTCGGGGGTCGTACTCGTGGGGGTCAGTAACGTCAGTGGCATCGTGGTGCAGATAGGAGGGATAGGGTGTAGCGCAGCAGAAAACAAGGATATTGAGAAAAATATATAAAATACAGTGCGTATCATAAGTATAGACGCACCCCTAAAATTACCGTAGCCGGACTCCACAGAAGTCCTTGGCAAACAGGCTTATCACCATCTGAACCAGCATGCGCGAAAACCTATGTTTACAGGCTTCCACGTGAAATGGGAAGAATTCGGTTGGCTGTATCCAAAGTATAGACGCACCTCGTATTGTTCCTCCATGCTTAAAATTGATTTCGAAAATTTGATTTGGCATTGATTCAACTAATCTATAAAGCAATTGCACATCCAAACAATCCCATGCCTGACCAATTGCCATCTAAAGATCGCTCACTCTATCAGAAGTTGTTCCCTGTGGTAAACATCTCCGACAAAGATGCCCTAGATGCTCTCTATGAGTAGTTATCAGGATAGTCCATGGCGATTATATTTCGCTACTCTAACCATGATTTTGTGAACCTGCTCGCGTGGGTCGCCACGTTGTCTTGTTGGAAAAAAGTTCTCCTTCTTCGGAACGTGCCAGAAAAGGTAGCAGATGACGACGTAGCACGTCCTGGTAGTCCGACGAGTCCATATGAGTGGAGGTGAAGGGCGACCTCAAGCTTCCAGTTCCGATGGAATCCTACCAAACTATCACACTGCCTCCACAGAAATCACGTCTACTGAGGAACTTCAGTTCCTTGCGGAGATCTCCCAAGTAGAACGCATTTCCATCTGAGCCATCCAAGTAGAACTATTTCTCGTCAGAAAATAGGACCTGAATAGGAAATTTCAACTCAGAGAGCTTCATGAGGAGGACGTGTATCTTCGATTAATTTGTTGCCATTTTCTTTCTGGCAAACTGGGGCCGGGCCTCCTTGTAGGCGTCGGTAAGTGGGAAAGCTGGGCGGAGACGACACCTAACTATGTTGTTGTTGCGCTTGATTGCCCTACATATCGTCATTCTGGACAATGGACCCGGTAAGGTGGCTCGAACTCAACTGATGCTGATAGTCGAGTTGGAATAGAGGCGTCTAATCGCACGTTCCTGCTGTGGAGTTAGCTTCTTCGGCCTTCCAGAACTCTTTTTCTCCCGCAGTATCCTGGGTCATGTAGAAATCGGTCGATTGACCTTGATGAACGCTGCACTTGTTCAGTATTTCGACAATTGGTTAGGTATGCTGTGTACAGGGCGCGAACCTGTACCTACTCGGTTTCTAAAGAATGCGGACCTCGTGGCATTCTTCGATATTGTGCAGAGTACTCATTCCTACTTATTTCTTTGCTGGAATGGAAAGTTGTTCATGTGTAGCCTATTATTTTAACCAAGTTAATGGAGTGCGTCTATACTTTTGATACAGGCAAAATAATGTCCACCTGTTAGAAAAAGGCCGAATTCCTTCCAATTCACGTGGAAGCTGGTAAACATAGGTTTTCGTGCATGCTGATTCAGATGGGGACAAGCCTGTTTGTCGTGGAACTTCTATGAAAGTCAGCTTTGGTGACTTTAGGTGTGTGTCTATACTTAAGATACGCACTGTATCCTTTGCAAGTTCGGTCGCTCTCCCTCTCTACCTCCGCGAAAGAAGTATTAAGTATACAAAGGAAGAAAGTGCATCTTCGCTAGGAAAAGGGTCACGTGTGCACAGCGCGCTGCGAAGATATTGTATTTCCTTCATCTACCGCCTGCTCCCTTCCCCTCAATACCTCGTTGGAGAATGACAATGTAGTTAAGGACGCTGTCGCAAAAACGACAACCGTGAAGAAAGGCCATGGGCAAATGTATTTTTTTCTCTACGAACTGTGTTTGCTACAATGCAGCTTTTGTCAACTGGTCATGATCATATAACAACTTTACGTAGTCGCAACTTGGCGAATATGGCTTATACCAGACAAAATCGTCATGGGATAACGATTACCCCTTTTCTTATTGCCTACGTTGGGAGAAAAGCTATTCTAGACACATTTCGAGCGTTCCCATTTGCAATGGTGAAGAAGGGCGGCTTTTTAAAAGCGAGGGATTACGATAAGTTTGGACTGGGTTCATAGTGGAAGTGGAGATGCTGAATAATGCCCCAGTGGCGAAAAAAGCAAAGAAATCCGTCAAGAAGGCGCAAAATGGGACCCCTTTCTTTGCCCGTTGACCTCCGATAATGGACGAGCTAGCAACCAATTAGGAGGTCGTTTGCACATGTTATGCTGATAGCCTCTATCATTTCAGCAAGCATCATGCTTTGATTGATCACGCATCCCATGAAAAGTTATAGGATACACTCTGGAAGTGGAATATCTCGTCACATTGGCAATCGAAGGGCGCTGCTGCTGGGGGCGGAGCACAGACCGTGGCGGGGCTCAGAAAGGAATGGCAAGCCTTGTACGCTGCAACTAGCGCACCTTTGACCACAAAAACGCAACATTTCGTTTCCTTGGGCCCCTGACTACTGCTTCCAATGGTGCATGTACTTCCACGCTGCATACGCACTTTATCGTAATCTCTCGCTTTAAGCGGCCGAGAAGTCATCCTCGATAGATCCTCGAGGCGAATATCTCCTCAACAAAGATATGTAGAAGGAAGCTAAACATGTCGTTGGGAAGAGCAATCCTTTCGCTTTTTACAGATTCCTTCACTTTTTCATGCTCTTATAAAATTAGAGAGATAATGCCTTCTGAGTGGCAAAAACTCGCATAAAATTCGGGTCCTCGACTCTGCATCGAGAAAATCTGAGAGACCCTATCTCGCTCGATTGTAGGGAATTTAGACTAATTTCAGTATTGCCCGGTAACAGCAAAATCCAGCTCTATCTAACCCTACTCACTACACAATGCTCCAAAGGTTGTAAAATGAGGGAATGGAACGTTTTATCGAGAGTGATTCTGATGGTTTCGAGCTGGGTTTCGGCAAATCTGACCCACGGACAAAACTGAATGCTTTGCTCTACATTAATGTGACTCGCTTATTCACATCGAATCAAAGTTAGAATGAGGGGGCGGGGTTCGAAACTACTGAGACAATCACCTCCTCAACACGATTTTCACCATGCGTCCAATTGTTCGGTGGCTCAGTCAGTACGCGACTTCGTAGAATTGAGGAAGCACAAAATTCTAGCCAATAAAAGATCGTTCTTCAACTGAAAAGTTGTTAACTCTACGGAGCCACCAAAGTCCAAAAAAGACCGAAAAAATGTTGTGTGATGGAATGGAAAATGCATATATGGAGTAGTATTGGATTTATATAACATTTTTACAGTTTCCACAATAAATTGTTCTAATAATTGCCTGTTCGAGCAAGAAAAATGAAATGAAATATGCTCCATGTACGGTGTTCTTTAAACCTGGGCATTCCGATATGTCTTGCTTCTGTTTAGCCTTCCAGGTTTGTTATGGTGGAACACTTTATTGGTCGACGTTTCGAACAAATCGTCGTTTTCAAGACCTAAAAATTGGTTCGAAGCTCTAGTTTGTAGCCTATCCGCTCACACCCCACTAGTACCAAATGTTACGCTTCTCAGTATCTCAAACCAAGATAAGTTCCAAATGAAAGCAACCTCTTACGGTACCACCAGTACTGGATCCCGCTCGGTTCTGAGGACATCTGACGAAAAATGAGACACCCTCACTCTACCTGTACTACTTCTAACCTTGGGGCCCAAAAGTTCCTTACCAATTTCGAGAACCTTTTTTTTTGCACAGCATGTCACCTTCGTAATAACTGACGAAACAGGATCCGGGCGACCTCATCTTGGCGGTAGGGGATGACGCACTGCATGCGCTGAGTTATTCACATGCCCCCTTTCACATGCCCCCTATCAACATCGGACCACAATATCATTTCCTTCAGAGTATCCTCCCTTTGGCTTAAAAGTGAGAGGATTCTTTATAGAGATTACAAAGGCGCGGATAAGGAAAAAAAACATGAACTCGCTAATCTTGACTGGATGCGAATGAATAATTATATTGACATCGATGATGCGTATTGCCGATTTGCTGCCATTATACGTGATATCATTGATCGCTATGTCCCCCAGCGCCTAATTGAGAAGAATGAGTCTGTCAGATATCCTAAGCATATCTTGAACCTTTTTAAGCAGCGCGACCAGCTATTTCAGCAGTTGTCACAACCATCTAAAACGCACTTTGTTGAGATTCCGAAAAACCTCGATTTTCATGTCAAGCGCTATTTGGCCTATAAAACAAGAAAGCTCGCGAAGAACAATCACATGAAAAAGCTTTTTGACCACATCAAAAAAGTGAAAGCAAGCTCTAGCACACAACAAATTCTTGAAGACTC